TAAGGCCGGCGCCGGACCTCTGCTCGTAATTCTTACCATTTTATTTTTGATCGCTTCCCAAGTCCTTTATCAGGGAAGTATCTACTGGTTGAGCTTATGGTCAGTAATATAAGGGACTACATGCGAACAAGTGCGAACATAGGGGGGTCTAGATTTCTTAAAAATTGCGAACGTACTTTGTGAATCACCCCTAAGTATTTTAAAAGGCAGTTGTAATGCAATATAAATTACAATTTATATACTGTATTAATAGTTCAAATTATTATTTTTGCTTTAAAAACCTATCAAGGAAAAACTCAAGGAATTTTCAATAAAATTTTAGTAATCTCAAGGAAAATATTACTCAAATATCCACTTCTCAAGGAAATTGAAATAGTGATCTGGGAACACTAATAGCAAATTATGTTACGAATGTTACCAATGGGTGAACTCTCAAACAGATGTATCGGTGATCGCAATAATGCATAGAATATTTGGTTATAGAGATTAACCGAAGATTTCATACACATTATGTAGAAACAAATGGTGGACAACAGAGTGGAAACAAACAGACCACAGGTTAAAGTCGTGTATATAATTATGTTGAATGTTTGGTCCACTTTATTAGACGTTTTGCACATTTCATTAGTCCTATTATATATTGAGTGAAACTTAATTAAACTTAATTTGGTAGTCCCTTATATTACTGACCATAAGCTCAACCAGTAGATACTTCCCTGATAAAGGACTTGGGAAGCGATCAAAAATAAAATGGTAAGAATTACGAGCAGAGGTCCGGCGCCGGCCTTAATATATGCCAAATACACACTGGACTCAACGGAACCAATCATTTTGAGTTCGGCCTTTACTTCCTGTTCGTCAACTTGTTTTGCATCCCTAACGTCCGTCACATCCGATCCCTCACTAATGGTTGAGACCATCGATGGTGTGACAGATGTCCTCCTTTTCATAACCGCCCTATCATTTGTTTCATCGGTTAGTCTTTGATATGCCATGAGATCAATGCCGCGCTCTTTGAGCTGAGTGTAGGACCCGATGGCCACACACTCGCCGTCGTTGAGCACAAGTATTTGATGCGCGTCTTTGAGAAACTGGATGTTATGCGTCACTAATATAGTCGCCTTGTCTTTCAAGTACTCAACACAACATCTGATCCAATGGTAAACACATTAAGCATTTTGTCATTTGGATAATAAAGTATACTTTTGATAGATATGTTTGGCCACACGTGTGTCGACAGCACTCAAGGGGTCGTCCAAGAGGTAGATGTCTGCCGAGTGGTACAGAGCCCGGGCCAGACTCAGCCTAGCCTTCTGTCCGCCACT